TTCAAGCAAATTACTATTCAATCACAAACTCCTATCTTTCTAGTTCATTCCCTCTAGCACCTCAATTTCAACAAACTTTCAACCACTGGGGGACACAATCCTTTGCCCCTCACCTAGCTCTTCTATTTCTTACCCAGCTTAAATTTCCGCGGTACATTACTACGTCACTCTCTGACATGTACCTTCTACTCATCTATTTTTTCCTTCATCTCTGCACTTGGAAAAACTTGAATTTTATACTCACTCTTTCCTTTTATTAGAAAGGATAAGCCACTGCCACTGCTTGGGCAGTAGATACCATCTCTTCTCACTCCTGTATTATAATTTTTTTCCCTTCTCTCCTGGACCATTCCTATCACCATAAAAACATTCTTGTTTCTCTCATCTTAAACAAACCCTCTCTTGACCCTACCACCATTACAACCACCACCCTTCACCGAAGTCTCAAAAGAGTAGTTGTCTGTAGTTTTCTTATATTCCTAGCCCCTCAGTGTTTTTGAACCCACTCTAGTCAGGCTTTTATCCCAACATTACACTAAAACTACTCTTATCAAGGTCACAAATACTCCCCACATTGCTAAATTTGTCCAATCTTGGTCTTTATCTTATTTAACCTCCCATCAGAATTTGACTCAGTTGATCACTTACCCCTTGAGCACTTTTCTTCACTTGGTCCCACAACTCCACAATGCCCAAGTTTTCTTCCTATCTCACTGGATTTTCCTTTTCTGATTTCTTGGAACATTGCGGTTCCCCTGGACTCTATTGGTGGACTTTTCTTCTCTTGTCGCACTCACTACTTTGATGATCTAATCCCTCCCAAGGCTTCAAAAACATCTTTACCCTGATGATTTCCAAATTTACATATGTCTAGCCTGAGCATCTCCTGGAAACATCAGACTAGTATATCCAACTGCCTACTCTGTATCTATACTTGACTCTCTAATAAGCATCTCAAACTAACATGCCCAAAACCAAACTCCTGATTATCCTACAAAATCTACTCCTATCCTAATCATCTTCATTTTATTAACTGCAACCTCAGAGGCCTACATTCATCTGTGAGCGATTCTCCAGGATTTGTAATCGTCACAAAGGAGATATATTTTGACGTCTATTTGATCTTCAGGTCCTTTAGGATTGAAATACAAAGTAAAATAGATTTTTTTAAGTCGGCAGGGCATGACTTTCAGTTAGAATTAATTCCTCATAGACAGGAAAAATAGATAATGCATTGGTGGATGCCTTAAAAATGAACCTGAATTTCAAAGATTTTTATTTTACTGACCTCCACCACCCTCTACATGTTTACCTGAGCTGAGCATTTAATAAACTCAGTGTGATAATTGTACAGTCATAAGTACTTTAGAGGTGCCCCTATTTAGATGTGGCCGTCCATGTTATTGAGTAGTTACGTGAGAGTCATACCTACCCAGTCACACATTTTATCTACTACAGAAGTCATAATACAACTTGTACTGTATTGTAATACAACCTCCAGCTCTGGGTTTCAGCTGGAAGGATGAGCTGTGTGGGCTGGGCAGTGTTTCTCAATCTTGACCAATGTTAATACCATATAAGAGCATTGTCAAAAAGAACAGAATCCCAGGCCCAATACCTACAGATTCTGATTTAGTAGATGTAAGCTGGGGCCCCAGAATTCATATTTCTGACAAATACTAGGGTGAGTCTGGGAAAATTTGGAAAGAACTGATATGTGAAGATGAGACTGGAGAACCCTCTATGACTCCAACAATATTAATAATAACAATAAACAGACACAAAAGGTACAAATGTTAAGCGAAATTGTCAATATATTCAGAGATATTACCATTAAGAATTATGTCCTATCATTAAGAATACCCAAAGATACCATAAAAAAATGAAAATGTCTGCCACAGACAGAAGATATGCACGACACAATACCGGAGGATATGGAGCAGGAAAGTCTCTTGTCCATCTGGTGGGGGTAGGAGTCGGCACAATGTCTTCAGAAAATGACAGGCATTACTAAGGTTAAGCACGGACACACTTTAAGTCTCTAATTTTACTCATACTTAAGTATGAGACCAACAGAAACATTTGTACAGGTACACTGGAGGACTTGTACAACCACGTTCTTAGCAGTGTTATTCATAACAGCAAAAAAAACTTAGAAACAACCCAAATATCCATCAATAGTAAAAGGAGCAAGCAAGCTGTGGAATAATTTTACAATGGAATATTACACAGCAGTGAAAATGAATGGACTACAGCTATGTGTCAAGATTTACAAATCTCAAAAATTCCATTTTCAGTGAAATAGGCAAGTCACAGAAAAATACAAACAGCATGCTTCCATTTATATGAAGCTCAAAAACAAGCAAAATAATATATTGTTTATGCACTCATATATATAGTGTACAACCTAAACGGAACACCCAAGTGGGATGGTGTGATGACAGTGGAGGGATAAGAATTGAGGGTATATTTTGAAGACTACAATATCTACATTATTTATTTCAGAGTTATTCTGAGGATCAACAGAGAAGGAATAATTTTAAAACTATAAAACCTTATATATAAGTATCATCAATCCTATAAAGCACATGCTCCAATCTCTACTAGTCAGTCAACATTTGTGATACTATTCATTTAGAAATTCAACAAGTGTTTGGTGGAGGAGAATGCAAATATATTTTTATTAAATCGTAATTAGTGAATTGTCTGATGTTCTATTTTAATGGGCTTTACTAAGTCACGGAAGAAAGACTGCAGGAGTCTTTTCTAGGTGTCTTATTAAAAACCTACAAAATAGTGCTACAAGCAAGGTTGATTAAAAAAAACAAGGTTTACTGGGAGCTCAAAAATTGTGCGGGAGATCTGCACATACACGACTATAAGAGTGGTTATGCAGTGAGCAAGGTTAGAAGTAGAATAAGCCTTGGCAAATGAGACAACTGAATCCAAGGAATCTGGAAACCCACCCAGAAGAGACTTCTTCTAGAGCACAAAATTATGACCAGTGTGTACTTAAGAGGTAGAACTCAGCTCATTTTAAGCAGGAGCCTTCTGACATAAAGTGCTCACTTAAAACACAAAACACCATAGTGCCTCCTGCACTCAGATTAAATACCTCTCCCTCCAGGCAGAACTTTCCTAACAAATGGGAGACAAATGTCCCAAGAGGAGCAGATTTTGGAGTAAAGCATTGCTTTCCAGCAGTAACAAAGCAAGTGGAATAGGAACCAGGCTTTGTTTCCTACCCTTTCCCATCAAGACTCTGTCATCCTGTCTGTATCATTAGTATCTCCCTCCCTGAAGTGTCGTTCTGTTGATTTTTTTTGTTATTAGAGTAGATTTTAGTCTAGTGGACCAGGTGGCCAAGCCCTTGCTTAAAAGAAAGTATAGGGGTTCATGGAAATTGCAGAACTGCTATAAAAAGGGCATTAGTATTTTTTGTTACAGGCATTTAGACAACAGAAAAGTAATAATAACTTTAAAACCTTGCTGCTTCAAGTGTGGTCCATATATCAGCGGCCATCGGCAGGGAGACAGACATGCAAATTCTCAGGCCCACCCAGACCTCCTGAATCAGAATCTCTGGGGGTAGGACTCAAGGACGTTTTAAGGAACTCCCGCAGATGATTCTTATACTTGCTGAAGTTTAACAAGCACTGTTTTATGACACAAATACATTAGCTCTTAGATAGGGAGTATGGTTAATAAGAAAAATCTATTTTTTCCCATTTAAGAACTCAGTTGTTGAGTGTGAAGGTTATTCTGCTATCACCACAGTTGTTGGTCAGCCATCATTTTACATGTATAAATGCAAAATATTTGAAGAATACCTTACCTACCTGTGTGTCAAGTACCAGTAATTCAGTAAAATAAAAAATGAGCAGCCCAAATGTGCGCTATAAAGAGGGATTCATAATTATCTTCCACCAAGAAAATATTAATGCTCAGAATCGTTTTATCCTTACAAGAAAATATACACTTTACCAGAAGCAAAGCCAAGTCTACATTTTAGAATAATTTCTACAAGTACTTTATACATGCATATATATGCACGTGTGTACAAGTATGTATACGTACATGTTTTGTATATACATATACACGTACACATATGCACAAATTTCAGCCCATAAGGAGCTAAATATCTGTAAAATTTGGCTATATGGTCTGCTTAAGATTCGAGATGGCCAAAGCCATATTTCTATTTCCTCGAAGACACTACGTCATGCAAGACCGGAAAGCTATCAGCATTTCAAAAATAGGCAGAAAATGTTACCATCACTATGAAAATAGACTTTGCTCTCTGCACCATGGATCCCAAAACCAAGGAATATTGCCAACCATACCGTTTAGACATCTGCCTACCTTACTCACTAAGAATCAGAGGGCATTTACCAAATGTATGCTAAGTAATTTTCAGAAATATACTAGAACTTGGGAAATAAAGTTCAATAACTAAACTCTCAATGAACAGATTAATAAAATAGTTTTATTAAGGAGAATAAATTGACTCACCTGGCTATTACTACTTTTTTAAAAGGGGTAAGATGATAAGGCCCCTTTTTATCTCACATTCAATTACCAGTTAATTCTTTACAAAATTCAGAACTCCACTGTTCATGACAGTGGGACTAATCAGTTCATCTGAAGAAGACCTCTCACCTTGAAGTTTGAACCGTGGCTCTCAGGAAGCTATTTGCAGTAGCGCCTAAACTTCTCTAGGAGCTCTGACTACCTGTTTACAGTTTGAGAGCTTTAGGACAAAACTCCTATCCTCCCCTCAAACTCGATCTTTCACTGCCTTTACCATCCTTTACTTGCTCTGCTTCTTCTTCCATGACAGGAAAATGTTTAACTGATAAAGGTACTCAGAAAGTACAGTATCTCACCATGCTCTTTAACTTCTCCTATAAACCAAAATATGAAGGATGGAAGGAAGGAAGAAAATAAAGGAGGGAAAAGAACTCTATTTCCTATCATTAAACTTTGATAAATATCTGTGATAGAAAAAAGAGAAGTTCGTTTATTCTGAAATTATTTTAATTTAGAAACAGAAAACATCTTGGAAGAAAAAAATTAAAGAAAACCACAAAATATATAGGCAAATTTTCACTCCATGAGCTTCGCAAATCCTCACTTATTCACCAATCCCCAAGATGAAAAATGCTCTTCTAAAAAGGTATTCAGCCACCACTGTAAAAGAAAGAAAAATGGTCAATTTTAAGCGTATATAAGATTTTAATAATAATAATTTGAAATGAAATATGCTGTAATTTTATGGAACCAAAACCAGTTATTAGAGAACCACACCTACATTACCCCGAGACAGCATAAAAGAGAAGAAACTGAACTTTAAAATCTTGGAACTGAAAACATCCTTAGAGATGATCTGGCTGCTAGAACAGACTTATCTTAAAAACTCAGAATCCCCAGTTGGGAAACGTTTTTAACAGTCTAACATCATGTCTTTCTGAATAAGATGAAAAATATGAATTACATAATGGAATGGTTAGTTGAGAAGTTTTTCAATTTGATGTACAATCACCAGTTGAAAATAAAGAATACTAACTAGCATAATAGTTCTTAACCACTATATCTTACTGTAATCACTCAAAAACCTGGCTTAATCATAATGAAAACAAAAATCACCTTTTCTACAGAAGTTTCTAAGTTTCTAAAGCATAAACATTAAAATCGTATACTGAAATATACATTTAGAACTGTGATGTTAAAGAAAAGAATAATTCCATTACTAGAAGAAAGTAAAACTCCTGAACATATACTTTAATGCTAAGTATTTTAAGAACTTATGTTATTAAATTGCATTGCTGTAACTAAAATATCCACAACAATAAAACTCCTTTAATTTAAATACTATGGATATTAATTTTGACTACCATAATTGTATAGAAGAGGAAAAACTTTTATCACAAGGAAAAAAAGTGATAATTCAGCCTAATAATGGAGAAGTTTCTGGTTTTATTTCATTTGCTATCATCTCAAACTGATTTAAACAGTGATTTATCCTCTTTGAAGCAGGAAAAAAACATTTCTTTCAGTTTTACAGCTATCATGACATGTCATGAAAAGAGTAAGTTTTCTGATAGTTTTTCTCACAAAATGTTTTATTTGGCCTTCATTTTAATGTAAAAACTATCTAAAGATAGATTTTTAAATCCTTAAACATTGAAACAATTTTGGTACTGGAAGAAAAGTTTTCTAAGCAACTAGCTTCTAAAAGGCACAGTTGAACAATCTCTGCCGGTAAGGTTGGGTGTTTGCTATGGAAAGCAGAATTAACAGAAAGTGAATTCTTAATATTTGTTTCAAAAACCTGCTGGGAACAACTGGACTACTGGATCTCAATCCAAAAAGGATGTGCTAAGAGTGCCTTGTCCTAAACAGTACTTTAGGCCACAACTTAGATAATGAAATAAAAAATATTCTAATAAAAAATTAGGATAAATAATAATGTTGGATAGATTACAAACTCAAAAGCCTTCCATAAGGGAATCTAGCAAAAAGTAATTTAACAAGAATAATGTTCCATTCTTAGGCTAAAAACAAACCATCCCAACTGTTTAAACAAAGGCTAAAGGACATTTATTGTAGCAGTTATTTGTGAGAAACTGAGGATTTTAGCCGATAGCAATAAAACACCTGGAGTAGGCATTTGATTCTAAATACTGGGTTTTAGGAGGGCTAATGAAATGCAAACTGGACTGTGAAGTGAAGAATGTGACTCTGAATGGGGAGTGTTCTCAAACTGAGCCAGAATGAGAGATGGGTATACAACAGTTAAGAATATAGGCTCCTATGCCAGTCAGCCTGGGTTTTATATGCTGTTCTACCACTTACCGGCCAAGAAACTTGAGTAATTACTTACTCTCCATGTCTCAATTTCTTCATCTATAAAATGGAAATAGTCATGCACTGCATAAGGACGTTTCAGTCAATGATGGACTGTACATACAACAGTGGTCCCATAAGGTTAGTACACATAGCCTAGGTGTGGAGTAGGCTATACCATCTAGGTCTGTGTAAGTACACTCTATGATACTCACATAACGATGAAATCGCCTAACGATGCATTTCTCAGAATGTATCCCCATCATTAAGCGACACATGACTACAATAACAGTGCTAACTTCACAGAATGGTCATGAGGATTAAATGAGTCGACTCACATAAAGCAGGAACAGTCCAGGGCACACATTAAGTGCTCAACAAATGTTAGTGAGATTATTATTAGTATCAAGACCAGCACAAAAAGGTACAGAACTTGAAGTCATTCACTTAAGTCAACAAATACTTATTCAGTGATTTTAATGGGTACATTGGACTAGATTTTGTAGTGTGTGTGTAGTCTGTGCATATATAGAATATATACATATACACACACACACATAGAGAATATATATATAAAAACAGATTTGCCTCAGAACTCATAATTTAATGTGAAAGACAGATCACATCAATGAGCCAAGGCAGACAGTAACATCCGGTGAGAGAGAGTTAAAGATATAGTGCTAAGTGAAGGCTGAGGAAAAATGTGAAAAGCGGTCATACACCAAAATAATGTTCCCAAGAGTAAAACCAAGAACAATGAAGGGTGTTACAGGAAACAAGTTTCATATCAGTTAAACCTGTCTGACAATAGAATGGGAAGCAAGAAGAGCAGATGCACTGAGCTGTACGGAAAAGAAGGGACTTCACAGAAACTCCACCCCATCTCTCCTGTTTACTGATTAGGCAACTATAGCCCAGAGACAGAGAGTCTCAGGTTTCCTAATTCTACTTCAGGATTCTCTCTATAATTCCACGGTTCCAGAGTTGGTATTTCTCACTGATAATATAATAGAAATTTCTGACCTGACAGAGATTTAAGAGACTTGATCCTTTTTTATGATCCTAAGATATCCCTTTGTGGCACTTCTGCTTAACAACTATGATAACCAACTTAAGAAATCCATCAGACAGTACTCATTCAGTCATTTGTCATTTAAAAGACAACTTCCACCAGCATGCATAGTAAAAAACCTGGTGTTTAAGAGATTTATAGTTTACAAAGCATTTCTAAATAACTGCTTCAAACCGCCACATCTCATAAATTGAACCTAATAGATATTACTGTCTCCAAATGACAGGTAAGGCTCAGAGATTAAATGAACACAAAATCACAGAGCAAATGAGTACTGCAACTCATACTAAGTCTTTATATCAAACCAAACTGCTTAAGACTACTCTACTTGCTCATTGCCATAAGGTGTCCCAATAACATAATCAATCAAAAAGCAAAAGCATTTAGGAAAGCATAAAGTAATCCTAGAGTTTCTCAGTCTTTTCTCCTCCTCTCTAACATGCCTAAAGGTTAAGATATCCTCCCTTTAGTACAATAGCTCATTACAGTAACAACAACTTCAATTAAAGTTCTTACGCAAATTATTTTTTTAGTTTTTCATGCTTAAGTTATTAATCTTTACTATACCCCAAGTAAGAACTATTATTCTTACTGAATAAACTGGGCACAGAGAAGCTAAGCAAATTGCCCAAAGCTAAGACAGCTATTAAGTAGCAAGAAAAAAGATTTGAACCTAAGCGATCTGATCCAGAGTTTGAACTCTATCACTATAGTGGTTTTCAGATGGGGAGCATTTCCTCTGCACTTTAAAAATGAACATATTAATACACCGTATAAACATAACTTGGATTTGAATATTGGTTCTGTCACTGATACTTGCTTTGTCACATACTGAATACCTTTAACTCACTTCCTTGACCCTTTAAAATTTTATTTATTAAAGAAAATAGTGCCTATCTCACAGAGTTGCTACAAAGATTGTGTAAAATATAAAATCACTTTGAATTATCAGTTATCAGAAATTATGAATAGACTTTAGCAGCATTAGAGTCAAGAGACATATCTGCATATTAACCAGATAGCAAGCTATCAACTCAAATGGTTTCAATTTTCATTCCATCCTAGATACTATTTCAAAAGGTTTACTTACACAATGATGTTATTAATAGGAATATGGATCAATTTCACAAAAAATCCAATGAATCCCATTATAGCAAATCCTATTGCTGTTGCCATGGCAATCTTCTGGAATTCTGAATTTAAAAACACAAAATTTACATTATTTTTGGCACTGTCATTGCAATCATAGGGGGAAAAACTAGCAGTGACATAAATAAACTTACTGGTTTACATTTCAAAAACAAAATATGACACTATAGATAGTAAGTAAATTGACAGATTTTTAAATTTTCCTATTTTACTGATATTTAAGGAGACACAGAAATAAAGTGCATGCTCATGCTAGTGAATCCATCAACAAGCAGCAAAATATTTTATCTTCTTAGAAAATGACCAGAATACCAAAAAGAAACGAAAATATAGATAGAAGAAATATACAGTATTTGTCTTAAAAATTTTGCTAAAAATATTGATCATAAAAGCACAAAACATAAGTTTCTTATAAACTATAGGTCTACTGTCTTTGGTATTATAATGAAGCCAAAACTAAGGCGTGAAAAATCAAATTGAGTTGAGCAGAATTTTCTGTAAATGTTTCAGTCTCTGGTAATGTTTCTGTTTCCTCAGGGAAGCTCTCCCTGCCCTCCTGACTTGGTGAGTCCTATTATGTGCTGTCAAACTCCTTCTATGTCTCTTTCATAATACTTACTACAGCAGTAAGTAAAACTGATAACTGATACTGCTTATGACAGTCTTCCCTGAAAGATTTTAAGCTCCATATGAGCAAGGACTATTCTCTGTTTTATATATATATATATATACACACACACACATATATATATACATTTTTTTTTTTTAAAGATTGGTACCTGAGTTAACAACTGTTGTCAATCTTTTTTTTTTCCTGCTTTATCTCCCCAAATTCCCCCATTGCATACCTTAGTTGCAGGTCCCTCTAGTTGTGGCATGCAAGACGCCGCCTCAATGTGGCCTGACAAGTGGTGCCATGTCTGCACCCAGGACCAGAATCGGCAAAACCCTGGTCCGCTGCAGCAGAGCACATGAACCCAACCACTCAGCCATGGTGCCAGCCCCCATTATATATTTTTATACATTACGCTATATACAAAACAATGTATCATATTATATTCTCTATTCTCTATTTCCAGCTCCTAACTCAGGCAGCAGTCAATGAATAAAAGTAGGCAAGTTCTGGTGCACCTTTTAACACACAAATCATGATAAATAAGAAATTAAATTTGGTCTGGCCTCAGTGGCCAAGTTCACCACACTTTGTTTCAGTGGCCAGGGTTTGGTTCCTGGGTGCGGACCCACACCATTTGTCTGTCAGTAGCCATGCTGTGGTGGCAGCTCACATACAAAAAAAAAGAGGAAGACTGGCAACAGATATTAACTCAGGGCAAATCTTCCAAAACAAAGAAGTTAAAATTTCTAGGTTGGCAACAACTATGATTTCACATTAAGGTTTTGTTTGGGGAAGGAGAAGGGGAGCAGTAGCAGAGGAGGAAGGACTCCAAAAGACTAGATAGTAAAAACTCTAAAGTCATTAAATATGACTAAAGCCAATGTAACATGGAAAAGGAGACTGTAATAAGTAATCTTATACCACTTAAAATACATAAACAAAAACATTTATAAAGTGTACAAAATTTAGAAAGAAGTGACTGTTTAAAAGCAATAAAGCAAAATAAACCAATAAAAATATTGATGAAAGTAATGCAATGGTTACTAAGCAGGAAAATATTAATCAAATAAAAGGCTTAGAAAATGCAGATTTAATTTTTTCTCTCATTTTAAAGGTATTACCTTTTCTATCAGGTTTGGTGCATCTTTTAACCAGCCGAATCGAGTCCTTCACAAACTGCCGACTTGGCTCAACAAACTGCATTACCTGATCCATGACACCTGTTCAAAAAAACAGAAATGGAAAAAGATACTCCTTAGTATTATTTATCATATAGTAAGAACTTGCTCAGTTACATCAAAATGTATTGAAACCAGTCATGAATTCATGCCCGATACAGGTAATTCCACATCATAAAAACAAAACAAAACAAAACAAACACAAGCTCTAAACCTAAATTGATATTATTTTTGTGAACTCCTGCAAAGCATCAGATCAAAGGCAGTAAGAAAAACACAGGTCTTAGCCATGTTGTCACCACTGACAAAGGACATATGCTCTTAAATATAAAAGAGCTATTGCTATTAAAAAGCTAAGCAATTAACAACACCTCCATTCCTTACCCACTCTACAGTTCTCTCATCGTTCTTGTTAAAGAACCAACAATGTTGGGATCCAACAAATATTTTCTATATTTTATTTTCAACTTCCCAGAAACCAGTGTCTAGTGCAGTGAGAGCCAACTATGGTGCTGCAAGAGTCTAAAGTAAAAGGGCCCGCCCGGTGGCATAGTGGTTAAGTTCACATGCTCTGCTTTGGCGGCCTGGGGTTTGCCAGTTCAAATCCCAGGCAGAGACCTATACACCGCTTGTAAGGCCACGCTGTGGTGGCACCATATATACCAAATAGAGGAAGACCGGCATGGATGTTAGCTCAGGGACAATCCTCGTCAAGCAAAAAGAGGAAGAGTGGCAACAGATGTTAGCTCAGGGCCAATCTTCCTAACCAAAAAAAGAGTCTAGAGTAGAGGTAAATATGGATTTCAATTTGATTGTTCTAAACCATGGGTACACAACATTTTTATAAAAAGAGTGTATTTATGTGGGATAGATGTAACTATGAAATTTTCAAAACCACAAAGATTGACTAAACCAAGATCCAGAGTCTGAGAAGCTATTAGCTAAACTCCAAACTGTTAGGTTTGGACACACCTTTTAAGGAAACAGAACTATATATTTTATCATATAAGCTCTTTTGAGGAATCTATTACCCAAAAGAAATGTCATCCAATCTTAGCTTTGAGGGCCATTGGTATGAGAGTTAATGACGCCAGTTTATTACTTGTATTTTGCTGTATCTGTAGTGTTTCGACCGGTGGCCAGGCACATAGATACAATAAACTTTTGTTGAATCAACGAATGAATGCCATTGTGGTAGTCCAAATCTGTCTATGAACTGTAACCTCTCTAAGCCCCAGTTTCCTTACTTACATGGAAGTTGGAATAATCTATATGAAATACTTAAAGTATACTAGAAATTCTATAAACATTCTGGGCCAAGTATACTGGGTTCCTCGAAAAACATACTAATGCCTGTCTTCTCAATATTTCACTTAACTTTGTTCTTCAAATCCAGTGGGCTTAAATTTATAGAGGTCATGATTAAAGCTAAGGACCTTGTCTCCAGAAAAAAATGCACAATATACAAAACACCGCCCTCAGTGTCAGGGGAGGGGATCTGATAACCCACTATGATCTCTTATCTAGATTCTAGACCAATCATCCCACTTCACGTCACAGGAGTGGTAGCAGGGCCAGGGCTGAATACAGCTCTTCCAAGACAGGACTACATACCACCCCAGAGCGAACCCGAGGTGACCCTGGGCGGCAGGCCCCAGCTCTGATTACGGGACAGAAGAACCCGGAAGCCCCCGAGAAAGTAAGGGTTCACAGAGAGGTGGCCGATCCTTAGGCCAGAGATCTGGGCCCAGAAGGATCACAGGCCGTATAAGTCCTCTTCCTCGGGACCTCGAGGCAGCTGTCCCGGGTCTCTGCTTCCACACCAGGCTGTGCGGGAAGGTGGGCAGCCGGCCGGGACGGCCAGACCTGGTCTCAGACCCGAACGAGGGTCTCGCTCACTGGCCCCGCGGGAGCTGACCGGGAAGACTAGCTCGCCATTCCCGCCAACTCCTTAAGTCACAAAAGTTTCGCCCCATGTGCACCCGACCAAGCACCTCACCGGCTCGCCAACTCCGCGGACTCCAGAGACACGTAGCACAGGCGCAGACAGGCAGAGGTCCCCCGGAACCGGAAACCGAATCTCGGGCCTACCACCCTCCCACTCCTCCATTCATTGGTCCTTACGCGGAGATCTCAGTGCGCAGGCGCAGCTCGACTTGCGTCTAGGGCGCGCTTCCCGGAAGAGGTGAGCTGAGATGGGAGGGGAGGCGCGACCTGTTGTGCGCTTAGCCTTTTACAGCTTGAGGGTTGCTTGTGCTGTGGTCCCTCGGCAGAGTGTCCAGTGACTCCCAGCCCGCCTCGCCTTGTTTACGTCCACAGTGAGAGGCCCTGGGGCCTTGCGGGACCTGCCCTCTTAAACCTAAGTAAATCTCCGCTACGGAGATTCCATTGGTGGGATGTTCTGTCTTGTAAAGTTTCTGTTTCCTGCGGTTCGCCTTGGGTCGTGTGCCTCCTGCCTGTCCACATTTTCTGTATGTCTTTAATTTTATTGGTCAAAATGGAGCTTATAGACGGTATAATGGTATTTTGACCGATCTAACGCGAAATAATATCCCCACCCCCAGACCTGGTCTTCCTCCGGCGTCACTCTTGAGGATATCGTGGAATTAAGGCCGTCATTTTGTGTATTATAGGTTTGGTTTGGGAAAGTGGGTATAACGTATATGTGTTATCTATGTATTTTGCTGAGAGTATTGTGAACCCAGACGTTTGATGATACCTGGCGAGCTTGTCAACGTGTGATGTTATGCTTTTAGAATGAACCATTCTTTCAAAAATCATTTATGGAATGCCTACTGCGTGTAACACTTTACTAGGTGCTGTGACTAGGTCAGACGTGTCAGACCCTCTTGGAGCTTATTATGGTCTAGTAAGGGAATTTACAGTGTAGGGCGGGGGACAGACAAGAAAAGAAAGTACAAGTTAATAAAAATGCTATATGGCAAATAGGGTGTTTTGAAGAGAGAAGGAAAAAAAGATGGTGGGATAAAGACAGAATTCTCTTAGATGGTCACTATAGGACTCTAAGCAGGTGACACATGGGCTGAAATCCTAGAGATGAAGAATTGTTCAAACGCACCCCAGTCTAGTTAGAATTTAAAAGTGACTCTTAAAACTAAGGCAAGGTATCTGTTATGAACACTGCTGTATATGTGGACGACCTGAAGTACAGTATATGGAGTATGTGTTAAAAACGTAGGTTCCTGCTTTCTAACCCACTGAATCAGAATATCTGGAGGTTTAGGAATTAGAAGTCTGCATTTTTAAAAAACTTAGGAGGAAGTTTTAGGTATTGAAATTTATACCTAAAAACTTTTCAGTCACCTTTGGAAAATATAAAGGAAGCATGTAATTATTTTGAAAACTGGCAAATAAAAAGGGTAAGAATCAAGCATTTATCCTGATTTTTCCTATCCTATCTGACCAAAGTCATTGATGAGGGGAAACTTCTTTTTATAAAATTATTCCAGTTAATAACAGCAATAAAATGATATTACCATTTTGCAATAGAATATTACAAAAAGTATGACTATTTTGTTAGAATATTACAATTTTGTAATAAATTAATGGGTTAGGCTACAAGTCAAGTGAACAAACATTTTCGGTAAAGGGCCAGAAAGTAAATATTTTAGGGTTGGAGTTCTTAAAGTCTCTGCTGTTGTCGTGCAAAAGCAGCCATAGGAAATATGTAAATCAGTGGATGTGACTGTGTTCCAGTAAAACATTATTTACAATAACAGAGGATCAGATTTGGCCCACAGGCCATAGTTTGCCAAGCCATGGTGTAGACAATGCTTATTAATGCCTGATGACATCACAAAAGAGAGATCAGACATGTACTTCTCATATAAGAACAACACAACACTGCCTGTGAAATGGCCTTGACAAGAACAAATGATGATGGAACCTAGTCTCTCATCAAAACTGTAGATCTACCAATGCAATATTGCTTGTTAATTATAACTCTTAGGTTAAGGAAATTGTGAAAAACATTGAGGTTGGAGTTATTGTAAGATATACGTTCTAAAAATTTTCATTTGAGACAGTAAAATTGGCACCCTACTATGATGAGAAAATTAACATGCTTCCTCCCTCCTTACTCCTCTCCCTACCAATTTCTGTTAGTGCTTTGGAATATTTCCTAAATGAGGGATGTTTCTCTTGATGAAGCCCACTTTAATTGTTTTAAAACAATAAAGTAAAAATTCTAAGAGCCCCCCACCCCACTGTTATTCACCATGATACTAGAAGTCTTAGCTAATGTCATAAAATAAGAAAAGGGTTGAGGGGAAGGCATATAAATTGAGACAAAAATAAAAACATTGTCGTTCTTTAGAGATGACATGATTCTCTATGTAGAAAATCCCAAAGAATCAACAAAAAAGTCTCCTGGAACTAATAACCAATTATAGCAAGATTGCAAGATACAAAATTAACATGTAAAAGTCAATTTTTTTCCTAGATACAAGCAATGAAAAATTGGAATAATAAATAAAATAAATAAAAATAAAAAATAAAAAATACAGTACCATCTTTATTAGGATCCAAAAAAGAGAAAGGGAGGAAAAGAGGGAATCAGGCTGACAGGTATAAATTTAACAAAATATGTACAAGATCTGTATTAGGAAAACTACAAGTTGATGAAAGAACCCAAAGAAGATCTAAATAAATGGAGAGATATTTCATGTTTGTAGATAGGAAGACTCAGTATTGTCAAGATATGAGTTATTCCCACCTTGATATTCAACACAATTCCTATTAAAATCCAAGCAACTTATTTTGGATATCAACAAACTGGTTATAAAGTTGATGGGACAACAAAAGACTAGCCAACACAATATTGAAGAAAAATAAAGCTAGAGAACTGGCAATACTGGGCTTCAACACTTACTGCAAATCTGCAGTAAGACAAGGTGATAGGGTGAAAGAATAGACAAATAGATCAATTGAGCAGACTAGAGAACCCAGAAAATAGACTCGCACAAATATAGTCACCTGCTCTTTGACAAAGGAGCAGTGGCAATTCAATGGAGCACAGATAGTCTTTTCAACAAACGGTACTGGAACAACTGGACATCTGCATGTAAAAAATGAATCTGGACACAGACTTTACACCTTTTACAAAAATTAACTCACAATGGATCATAGACCTAAATGTAAAATGTAAAACTATAAAACTTCTAGGAAATAACAAGAGAAAACCAAGGTGACCTTGGATTAGGTGAGGGGTTTTTAGATACAAAACCAATAGCATGACTCGTGAAAGAAAAAATAAGTATGACTTCATTAAGATCAAAAATTTCTGTTCTACAAAAAACGTTGTTAAGAGAGTGAAAAGACAAGCCACAGACTGGGAGAGAATATTTGCAGAACACATCTCTGATAAAGGGCTTGTATCCAAAATATACCAGGAACTCTTAAGACTCAAAAAATGATTTAAAAATAGGCAAAAAAACTGAACAGATACCTCACCAAAGAAGATATACAAATAAGTGTATGAGAGGGTGCTCAATATTACATATCATCAGGAAATTGCAAGTTAAAACAGTGCGATACTGCTGGATACTGATTAGAATGGCTAAAATCCAAAGCACTGACAATACCAGGTGCTGAAGATGATGTGGAGCAACAGGAACTTTCATCCATTGCTAGTAGGAATGTAAAATGGTACAATCACTTTGGAGAACAGTTTGGCAATTTCTTACAAAGCTAAACATAATCTCACTATAATAGCCAGCAGTCATGTTGCTTGGTATTTACCCAAATGAGTTGAAAATTTGTGTTCACAGAAAAGCTCGCACAGAGATGTTTATAGCAGCTTTATTTATAATTGCCAAGATGTAGAGGCATCTAAGATGTCTTTTAATAGATGAATAGATAAACAAACTGATATATCCATACAGTGGAATATTATTTAATGATAAAAAGAAATGAGCTATCAAACCATGAAAAGACATGGAAGGAGCTTAAATGCGTATTGCTAAGTGAAAGAAGCCAATGTGAAAAGGCTACATGCTGTATGATTCCAACTATATGACATTTTGCAAAAGACGAAACTGTAGAGACTCTAAAATGATTAGTGGTTCCCAGGGACCTCATGGGAGGGAGGGAGGGACGAATAGGTAGAGCACAGAGGATTTTTAGTGCAATGAAACTATTCTGTATAATATTGCGATGGTGGATATATGACAATATACATTTGTCAAAACGTGTAGAACTATACAAAGAGTGAACCCTAATGTAAATTACGTAATTTAGTCAATAATGTGTTAATATTGGTTACAAATTAACATTTAGAAATATTGGTTACAAATTAATATTGGGCACAAATGTACACTAGTACAAAATCTTAATAATAGGGGAAACCGCAGAGGGAGTAAGGGGAAGGTATTTTAGTTTTCTATACTTTATATTCAATTTTTCTGTAAACCTAAAATTACTCACAAATAAAGCTTATTAGTAAAAATTAAAAATAAATGACAAGACTCCAGGAGATGGAAAGAAACTAATTAGTTGTTCCACTGTTTTCTTTATGCTCTATATAAAACAACATTAGGCAATATTGAGACTCCTTTAACTCTCCCTCTACTGACAGACAGCCATTTTTTGTAAGATTCTGAGAACTATAGCCCCTCTCCCAAGACAAAATGGACACAGATGAGTTTGACCACAAACCTAGTTATAACCAGTTGACTTATTTAAAGAAAGCAAGAAGTTCTGGCCCCTATATTACATTCCCTGGGGCTTAAATAATGGAACATGATGAGATCCAATCACACTTTCTTTACATTGAGGCCTGGAGAATGTTATCAGCTGAATTGTGTCTCCCCAAAATTCACATGTTAAAGTGCTAGCTCCTAGTACCTCAGAATGTGATTGAATTTGGAGATAGGGTCTTTAAAGAAGTAAATTAGTTAAAATGAGTTCATTAGGGTGGGCCCTATTTCAGTGTGACTGGTGTTCTTATAAGAAGAGGAAATCTGGACACAGATAAGTGCAGAAGGAAGATGATGTGAAGATGGTCATCTACAACTTAAGGAGAGAGGCCTCAGAAGAAACTAACCCTACTGACATCTTGATCTCACACTTCTAGCCTCCAGAATTGTGAGAAAATGAAATTTCTGTTTA